TATTTTCATTCTGAATTTTAAAAAAATTCCTAGGAGTGCTTTTTGTTTATTGAATGACTCTTGCTTTAAACATTCTGTGTTCCTTGAAGCAGTATAGTTTCTTAGTTCTCTGATAATATTAATCATGTTTACTTATTTGTTTGTTTTTACCTGAGTTACCTCTGAGTTCATTTTTTTCCCATTTATTGGGATCATGTTGATATATTAAGAAGTTGAATAGGAGCTGTGTATATGTGGTTCCTTAACTACTACTAGCCCTTATAACCTTACAATGTGGTAACTGAGAGAGAGAGAGAAAGAAAGAGAAAGACACAGAGAGAGACAGAGTGAGAGAGACAGAGTTGTTCCTCAGTTGGGAACTTCCCAAAGTCTGGCGATCTTTTTTCCTGGACAGGCCAATTTCCCCAGGGAGAATTCTTGCCTGGTGAATATAAATCTGAGAGCTGAATGGAAGAAATAGAACAGCTGAGGGGAAAAAAAGAAGGAGTAATAAAATTGTGTTAAATGTAGGTTTTCAACTATTTCTCACTTAGCTTAGCCAACCTCCAATCCAAAAGGATGCCTCTACTTTTACCTCTTGATAGAGCAAGCCTACCACCTACTGTTAAGATGAAGTTAGAACCATTATCTTGCTGCACAGGCTGACAGAAGGGATCTAAAAGTCTAAAGAAGTTCTAATATAGACTTCAAACCAATCATCCTGTTTTTAGCTCTACTTTCCTTTAATTCTGGAACATTTCATAGTTCTAATATGAAATATGGTAGTTTCTTATTGGCTGCTTCCCATTTCCCCATCCCTTTCTTTTCCTCTGCTCTGCTAAAGGCATTTGTCCATCTGCTTTCTATATTCCCAAATGGTAAGCCTTTTTCATATGCTATTATTGCCTCTTATAAGATATTCTTGTGGGTTTAAACCTTTTCATCTCTTCACTATCTCTTCATTAGGATTTCTAGAAGGAGCACACACTAAAGCTTAATCTGCTATGTCTTGGTGCAAGGACCTCTTAGGTGATTGTCTCCTGAATATATTTTAAGCATGACTTATCTTGGTCATGTCCTTCTACAGCTGAATATTTAACAAACAAACAATTTTTATTCCTACTATATGTCACGTTGTTTAGTTCCTTTTCCAGATCTGCTGAGATTATTTTACTATAGCAATTTCCTCATATGATTATTATTATATGGTTTCTGTTTGTGCTACAATTTACCTGCATACAAATTTCCACAGCATATTGTAATCTCCTTGGGGAGGTCATGCTGTATCTACTTCTCTATTTCTAACCCAGAATACAGTGCCCAGGTCAGAATATTCACTAGATAAATGTCTATAAAAAATGAATTTTGTTATCAATTGTCATTGTATGATCCATTTTATTATATGTTTCCCTAGCAATAATAGTACTTTTCCCAGGTTTGAACAAATGCAAGATGCTAGGCAATGGGAGAAGTTTTTCTGTTGTGGTGGGCATGTGCCCTTCCATCATGGGTTCAAGATTGGTAGACTAGAAGGAACAAGATATTTTCTCAAAATCATAATAATCACTTGGCCAGAAGAGTCCAAATCGGAATCAAAGAAGGAATGTAAGAGGTCAAAGCTAGAGAAGGGGTGCTAAGCATCAGTATGAGGAATAAAATATAAAGTGGAAAGCTAGATTAGGAGTAAGTCATTCAAAGGGTGTAAGGCCATAAAGTAATTGGGTCCATGACAAATGAATAGACACTAGATATCCATTTTGTGTCTGCTCATGTGTGGCTTAGGGGCTACAGACATGAAAGTTTAAAAGCAACACACTTTTAAATACCTGCTTCTCCCATTCCACTCATTCCCAGATTCCTTAGCCTTGAAATAAGGCAAGGATGTCTCTTCTTTGCCCAGTCTGAGATCCTGTCACTAAGAAAGTCTTTCTGAGCCTTAGGTTCCTATGAGCTCTGGTGTCCAGCCATCTCCTTGGCTCAGTCACTGGAGCAGTCCTCTGATGAAAACTATTTGTGGAGCATATTCTGAAAGTCCTGGCTGTATGGCAATGCCCATGGGCTGGGTATGGTCACAAGAGGATGGTAAGGAACAGTGAAAGACAAGGAGAGTATGACTGGATGAAGTAATGGTAGTAGAAAGGTGGTAGCCTCAATAACTTCAGTGACTCAGGAAGAACCAGAATGCAGCCTTCAAGTTTCTTGAAAGGTCAAGTGATAGAGATTTCATGGGGGTTGAATGAATCTGGGTTGCCTGTGGCGTGCTTTCTACTGGTAAGCAATAGTGTATCGGTTGAGGCCTAGTTGCCATCCCTGATGCAGTATCCTATAAATCTTTCTTGTGGATTGAAGACTCCTGACCAAAGCCAGAGTTAGGATGGCTATAGATAAAATATAGCATTGGGAGTGGAGGTTGTAATTACTATGAAAGATGTATGGACAGATTTAACTACCTATTGTATATTAGTACAGGATTTGGGCACTATGTAGCCTGTCACTTCACCCACACAATGTACAGTATCAAAAGTACTTCCCAGTGACTCCTTTAAATACCCCATCTGGTTTATTAATAGGTGGACATGAACTTAGATGGCCTTAAAAAGTGCAAGATACAAATGTGACCCACTCTCAGACACATGGGTGGGAATGTTATAAAGAAGTGTCCCTTAAAAATATGACCAGCAACACTGAAAGGAAAAGAAATCAACAAAGACAAGAGGGAAGGAGGGGCAGGGAAAGGGAAGGGAAGGGGAAAGTCAAGGAACATATAGCAAGGACTCATGGACAAAACCAAAGGGGAAGAGCTGAGGGAGGGAAGGAGGGAGGGGACAAGGGAAAGTGGTGGGGGGGAGGCAGAGACAAATGTATTTGAAAAAATAAATTAAAATAAAATTTAAAAAAAAACCTGAAAAAAATAAATAAATAAATTCATCTATATATTAACTTTCCAATTTTACAAAACATTATATTTTCTTGAGAAAAGATACCATTCATTAGGTGGCAATAAAGACCAAAACTATAAATTATCATAACACACAAAGCACTTTTTGAATACAGAAAAATATATCTAGAATCTGATGTCTTGCCAATAAACTATAAGAATTGTTACTTTCATTGTAATTTCTTTTAAGGAAACCCACGCATTGTGGCCCCTTGCCTACTGATTTGATTTGCAAAAGTCTTAAGTAAATGGGCACCTCAACTTCTTTTGTCCTTTTCACAGAAGCTAAAATAAAGGAATAGTGTTTAAAATATAAACTAAAAAGAAGTTGAATCAAAATTATATTTAAAAAGACTGCAGTAAAATTTAGTTTCTTTTTTTGCATGTAACTGCCCAGATCTCCCAAGACCATTTGTTGAAGAGGGTATTTTTACTCCATTTTATGCACCTGGCCTCTGTAACAAATATTAATTGACCAAAGAGACATGGATTTATTTCTGTGCTCTCTATTCTGTTCTTTGATCTATGTGTGTGTTCTTATGCCAGTACCAGACTGTTTTGATTACAGTGGCCTTATAATATAGTTTGACATCAGGTATTATTGATCCCTTCTACTTTGTTCTTCTTTCTCAAAATTACTGTGGCTATTCAGTGTCATTTATGGTTCCATATAAATTTTTGAAATGTTTGGTCTTTATCTGTGAAATACGTCATTGGTATTTTAATAGGGGTTGGGTTGAATCTATAAATTGCTTTGGGTGGTATGGACATTTTGATGATGTTAATTCTTTGTACATGAACAGCAATAAAAATAAATAATGAATAAAAATAAAATTCTAAAAAACTGTATAATTTCATTAGACTCTTGAATAGACAGATGGTCAGAAGATAATTAACTAAGAATGGTTAATACACAAGTTCAAAACTAAAAAAGTATCAAACAGATTTTTTTAAAAAATCAGGTTCCACAGAAGAAAATAAATAATCCTCGACAGTAATCAGGGAAATGTTGAAGCTCAAGGCATCATTTCATAACAACTAAATTCTATTTGCTGTGATAACACCAAATACGGTAAGGCTACAATACAACTGGTAAACTGCTGATAACATGCTTAACCTCTTCTGGAAAATAATATGGCAATAGTAAAAGTAATTTAAAATTCAGACTCACTAGCTCAAGAATCCAAATCCCGAGAATTTATCCTAAAGAATTCAACCAAAGAATAAAATGTATAAATACTGTATTAACAAATTGTCAATAGTGATGTCAATAACAGAAGAAAAAACTGGAAGCATCATACATGCTATGGATAAATAATATCACAATTAGAAAGAAAGCTGCCTGTGGGTTTCTCAGAGTGTAAACAGGACCAGAAGGACTTGAGTTGGAACTGCAAGGCTGGAAAAACAGCCTCACATACACTGCCTTGTGCAGAGCTCTAGCTTAAACCTGTACTGAGCAACACTGATAACAAATTGGGCAGGGTAGAAGGAACAAGGACTGAGGTGGACATAGAAGGAATGAGGAAAAATACAAATTGATACAATAAGAAAGGCTGAAAAATAAAAGCAAGCTACTAATGTTTGAGGCAAGGTAATGGTAATATGAGTCAGCTGGTAGAGAGTTGGCATCTAATTAAATCACTGCATTAGTATTATGTACCAAGAGCTTTCTTCTTAGTGTTTTTGTGCTTCTTTGTACTTCCCATATTCTCCACAATAAATATATGTTATAATCAGAAAAAAATGTTATTTGCAAAGAGAAAATAAAACACAAGAGTCTAATCCTTGCTATTCTAAGTACTGTATATAACCTTTTTTTTATCATAACTCTTCCACTTCTTCAACTTTACTTTTCTTATTGTTTAATGTGGTTCAGTAATTTAACAAATATGAAAGCAAAATACAAATTATTGTTTTTACAAATGCAGAATCTTGGGCCCCACCACAGACACAGTGAATCAGAATCTGCAAGTTAACAAATCTACAGAGGATTTCCATGCATATTTACAGTCTGATAAACACTACTGTAGCTCCTTCTGGTCCCCACACACCCCAAAGTGTGTGCTATGTGAGAACCTACCAGACTCTGTTGCAGCCTTTCTGGGTGAAGACATATCCCCACGTGTAGATGAGATGGGTAAAAAGCTTCTTGTGTCCTGAGACTTAAGCAGAAGATCTAACTAGTATCCTGGAGCAAGCACACAATTGTTGATCACCTGGTCAAACACACAATGCAAAGGATTTTCTATTAGACAACTGAAGTTTTCACAGCTTTGACGTACTGCTTGTTTATTCAGTCACTGTCACTCAGTGACTTAATACTTTTAATGCCATACTTATGCTGAAATAGGCACTAGGAGTACAATGAATGGATATAACAATTAACTACAGAGTATGTCTTCAAGGAGTTAATGTTTAACTTATAAAAATCCTCACATAGGATAAGTATTTTTTTTCTTTTCTAATCTTTTCCATACAGGCCTGTGAAATCACGTTATATTGCCTGCATTGGTTAAAACCCAGAGTATATTTTTTTTCCTATGGCAGACTTTCAGTTAGCTACCTGCAAATGAAATGAGATTACTATAATCTGAATCTAAAAGGTAATATTTTGAAACATATATATTTTAACATTTTTAGGCATAGGATGTTAAAAAAGATTATTTAAAACATGGAAGTAAGATAAAAAGATAGGTAGTATGTCCTTTCAATGTTATATGAGGATGATGTTTAACAGGGCCTCTCAGAAATTATATAATTATGTGGATAACACATAATTACTTATATATTATTGTACTTTATTCAAATCATTGTTTACTATTGATTCAGAGTCCTAGACTTTGTCAATTATAGCTTACCTTACAGATTTTTGTCCAGAAGTGATACAAATAATTTCTAAGAAAAAACACCAAAGCTTATAATTTATTGTCCTGTCAGATATTAACCATCCTAATGATAACTTTACTTTCTGCATAAATACTGGTTTTCTTTATGATTAGAAAAAGCAACAACACTCTTCCTTAATAAACAACAACTAAACTAAAAATGTATAAAACATGCTAAATAATAGTAAAAAAAACTTATACTGGGAATTTAATCACAAGAAATATAGATTCCACAGGAAGGAACTATTATCCCAGGGGTGACTTCAGGTAGGGCAGCAAGATTACTCAGGATTGGGAATTGTGCTTCTTTAGTCCGTTTCCTCTAGGCCAGTCTAGGTCTCAGAGTGGGACGTGATAAAATTTTCAAAAGAACTGGAAGTGGCCTCAGGTTAAAATTCTATGTGTTGGCATCTTGTATCCAATATAAAGTCAATTATGAGAAAACTGTCTTTGTTAGCATCTGCTTTAGTTTTAAGAGAGTTTGAGATAAACTGAAAATAGCACCCCAGATGAGAATATGAGAATATGTCCAGAATTCATTGCCTTTTCTTCTATGTCATTCTAACTCCTAAAGAAAAATGCCATGCTTCTGTTGACTGTACAAACCAAACACATGTGTTTTCTTCCTCTTAAGATCAGATGAGACCACTTTGTACCATATGGGAGCTTTTATTCCTCTGTCCTTAATGCTGTATCCTAAAAAAAGTAATTCTTTTTTTAAGGTTCCCCTTCTCAGGGTTAGTTTCCTAATTTCCTATACCTTCCCTAGGAGTTAAAGGGAAATATTTAATTTAGGAATCTGACTTCCATAACTTTCCAGAGTTCTTGAGATGATTATGCAGATTACTTCATGATATATACACATTTCACATGAGATTACAGGCATACCTCATTTTATTGTACTTTGCTTGACTGCAACTTGCAGATAATTGAATTGTCAACAAACCGAAGGTCTGTAGCTGGTCAAGGTTTCACCATTCTTATTCAACATGGTACAAGAAGTGCTAGCCACACCCATCAAACAAGGAAAAGAAATAAAAGCATCCATATTGAAAAGGAAGAAGTAAAACAGCCATTATTTGCAGATGACATGGTACTGGATATAGAGAACACTAAAGATTCCATTAAAAAATTACTAGAAATGATAGATGAATTCAGTAGATGAGCAGGATACAAAGTATATATCAAAAAATCAATGGCACTTTTATACACCAATAAAATATCAGAAAGTGAAACTATGGAAACAATCTCATTTACAATTGTATAAAAAAATATAGTACTTAGAAATAAAACTATCCAAGGATTAAAAACAAACTGTACCAAAAAAAGTATAAGAACTGAAGAAAGAAGTTGAAGAAGACAGGTTAGGAGGAATCAAGATAGCGGAGGAGTAAGTGGAAGTCACACTGACCTCTTCCCAGGACCAATCTGGAATTACAACTAAATTGTGAAGAAATTACCTGGAATGAACAACTGAACAATAGTGATAGAGGAGCCTTTTAACCTTGGACAGACAGAAGAATCAGCTTTAGCGCAACCTAACTGGTAAGGAGTGTGGTCGAGACTTGAGAGGGCAGACAGGGCGCACACAGTAGGCAGCACCAAAAGGATATTGAAATGGCAAGTTGGATCCCCTGAGAAGAGCAGGGTCTAAACCAAAAGTGTGAATCTCCAGGCTACAGCACCAGAGCCCAAAAAGTACACAAATAACAGCCAGCTGCAAAAAGTGGCAGCATTGTTCTCTGCGAGACAAGGTCCCTGAGTGGCAGTAGCATGAGAGGAACCAATAGACCTGCCCCCAGGAAGCTCTGCCCAGGCCTGGTAGTGCTAAAACCTGATGACTGAGTACAGAGCGGAAGGTACAGAGAGTAGAGCCCTGGCTAGAGGAGGCACAGAGTGGTCTGGTGACACTTGAGGAGAGACTGGAGACTGAGGTTTTGGGGAGAGAATGGAGAGAGTGGCCAGGAGGATCCCAGTGCTGACTCTTCCTCTATGTGGCAGCAGGCATCTCGCTCAGGCAGATACTCCCTTGAGTGGCAGCAGTGTGAGAGGACCCAATAACTCTGCCCCCAGGAGGGACTCTGCCCCGCCCTGTGGTGTCTCTAAGCTGGCCAGCTGAATGCAGAGTGAATAGATTAACAGTTGAAGGAGACAGTCACAGACAGTAGATTCCTGGAAGCCTAGAACAGACTGCCTAAGGTCACACAGAGTCAACATCTGACATCATCAGGGGAAGATTCAGGAAGAAAAAAAACAGCAATCTCCTACCATAGAACTTCACACCACAAAGTCAGGAAATCAAGACAGATCAATTTAAGGAGCAGAAACACAAAAGAAGAGTCTCACAAATAATGGGAAGACAAAGAAATACCCCCCAGTCGAAGGGAAAGGAGGAATCCCCAGAAAGAAAACTAAATGAAATAGAGATAAGTAAACTATCAGATATTGAGTTCCAAACAATGGTTCTAAGGAAGCTCAATGAGCTCAGTGAGCTTAGAGAGAATTACCAAAAACTACAGAGAAACTATGAGGAACTTACTGCAAACTATATCAGCATGAAAAAGGGCATAGAAACTGTCAATAAGAGACAAGAGGAAATGAAGAATACAATTTTGGAACTGAAGAACACAGAAGAACGAATCAAAAGCAGGCTAGATGAAGCAGAGGATTGAATCAGTGAGACGGAGAATAAGGTAGAAAAAAGCTCCCAGAAAGAACAAGAAAATGAAAAAAGACTCAAAAAGAATGAAGAGGCATTTAGGGAAATTCAGGACAACCTGAAATGTAATAATATCCATATAATAGGGATACCAGAAGGAAAAGAAGAGGAAGAAGGGATGGAGACTCTATTTGAAAAAGTAATGATGGAAAACATCCTTAATTTGAGGAGAAAAAAAGTCGTACAAGTCCAGGAAGCACAGAGGGTCCCATTCAAGAGGAACCCAATGGGGCCCACTCCAAGACACATCATCATTAAAATGGCAAATATCAAAGACAAACAGAGAATCCTAAAGCAAGCAAGGGAGAAAGAGGTAGTAACATACAAGGGAGCCCCAATACGGCTAGCAGCTGACTTCTCAACAGAAACACTATAAACCAGAAGGGAATGGCAAGAAATATTCCAAGTCATGAAAAGCAAAGGCCTGCAACCTAGACTGCTCTATCCAGCAAGGATCTCAATTAAAATGGAAGGTGAAATAAGGAGCTTTCCAGACAAAAGAAGGCTAAAGAATATACCTCCACCAACCCAGCATTGCAAGATATGCTAAAGGGACTGCTTTAAGATGAAGAGAAGGTGTCTATGAATACCCAGTTCCTTTCACAGTTGCCAATACTGGATTTTACCAATTTTTATACTTAATCTGATTTTGCCAGTAATGTGTTATTTTTATTGTTATTTTGTTGAAACTAAACCTGTTTTTGTGTATTTCTTGCCTATTTCTACTATTTTTAAAAAATTTCAAATGGCTTTTTGGTATTCTTTATCCATTTTTTGATTAACTGTTTGTAGAATTTTTTCCCTAAAAAAACCCCCAAAACTACTAACCCTTTTTTAGATGTGTTGTAAATACTTTCCTATTCTATTACTTGTCCTTTAACTTTTTTATATGTGTAATACAGCATAGTCTTAAATGTTTAATATAGTCATATAGTCAGCATTTTACTTCATAGCTTCTGGGTTTGAATATGTTACTTCAGGGTAAGAAAAATATTATTTTGTAGTTTCTCCTAAAACTTCTTAGATTTTACATACTGATTTTTAACTTACCTGAATATTTCTTGTATAATGTGTGAAATAGGGCTCTATATTTGTTTACTTCAAGTAATAGTGGTCTATGCACCTTATTTGTGAAAAGCCTTATTTTCCTCATTCATTTGAAATGTCAATTTAATTGTATATTATATTGTTAGATATATACATTTGTCTCTAGAATGCTCATTTTATTTCATTGATCTACTTGATTATTTTTGTGCAGGTGTCATGTTTTAATTGCTGAGACTTTGAAGTGGATTTAAGTTTTTAAATATTTTATAATGGATTTTGACATTTTAAATAAATAGATGATAGATAGATAGATAGATAGATAGATAGATAGATAGATAAAATGGGCATTTAAAAAGAAAAAGGAAGAAGGAGCTCCTACCTTTTGCAAAAACATGAATGGAAGTGGAGAATATTATACTAAGTGAAATAAGCCAGTCGGTGAAAGAAAAATACCATATGATCTCATGTATAAGTGGAATCTATTCAACAAAATAAACCACAATAT